GACCCGTGGAAAGGAGGGAAGTGAGGTCCTCCCTGTGGGAAGAAGTGAGGATTCCAGGAGATGGGTGGGGCCTCTCGGGGAATCAGCTTGGAGAAGGAAGAACAGAGGCGAGGGCAGCAGGACCTGGCTGGTCCTTAGAATGAACTCATCCCTCCTGTGCTGCCCCTCATGTAAATGGACTTCACAGTCCTGGGGGTGACTGGAAACAATCTACTCATAAGATACCCCAGTCTTGCCCAGGCAGGAGTTTCTTGCACATTCCCCACACGGCCTTATTCCATTTGCAATGAATGGCTCAGCATCCTTAGAACATTCCTCTGTCTTTCCCAGCACAGTTTTTTTTTTTATAACTAAACCAGGAACACAGCATTTGGCTGCTCCCAGGCAAGAGAGAAACAAATGAGACCCTCCAAACTGAGCTTCCCTGTAGGGAGCAAATATTTGGAATTTGTGGATTAAAAATAGATGTTTGTGGTTTGTTTGAATGAGTTCCGAAAGGCCTAGAGTTATGGTGCATGAGAAACCTGTGGATTCCAGATTAGGAGGCTTCTCTGGCCTCTCAATGAGTGCTCATGTGTTTAATATTCACTCTTTGTTTTGCTTGTTTTGTTTTGTTGTTGTTGTTGAATGACAAAACGTTGAATGTCTGTGCATGTGCCTCCCCGTCCCCCAGCTCCTGTTACGATCTGGTAGCCTCCCAAACTGGCAGTTCCCAAGAAAACAGCACTTATCCCCAGCAGGGCTTGAAAACCATGAAGGCCCTGGTTCTCTTGATTTGGATGATTGTAGGTGAGCTCTTCCCACAGCATGCCTCAGGCCTCTCTGGTCATGGAGAAGAGCCCCCTCGTTCTACAGGACTCCTGTGGTCTCCTGTTCTTCTGCAGCCTGGAGCCGGGAGCTGCGCCCCTGGAAAAAGTGGGAGGCTCGGACACTGCAGAGGGAGCCCCCATACACAGTAAGGAGCATCATGGAGGTAGAGGAAGTCTTGTAGCCAATGTCAGCTAGTTGCTTGGCAGTTGGCATGTCGTCCCCTGGATGTTGTAGCTCCCTCCTGTCCAACCAAGGCCTCCGCTGGCAGCGTCTGGCCACCACAGTACATGCAGCCTGGCAGCACCTGACACAAGGGTGGGGGTCCAGGAACAACCCTAGACACTGAGGTGCTGTCGGTCAGGAAATCACCTTTTCTCCCTCCCGCCCACCCACCCACCCCATCACCCTCT